TTTTTATGAAGGTATTTACAATTTTACCACAGACACACTACGTTTCCTTCTCTGTTTATTTTTCCTCTGTCTCACAGGTTGTCTGGAAAAGATAGCTCTCAGCGATAATACCGCCTTTGCCCTTTCATTACTTCTTAGTTATGTACGTTTTTGTTTTTGTGTGTAAGCAATAAAGTGCATCTATCTATCTATCTATATTTCACGTAGTAGTTTATTTCTAGTAACTGTAGAGCTTCTTGTGAAAAAGTTCGTCCAAGGTTATCGTACCACCTTACCTATTTCTGCCGCCAAGCGGTAATGTCAGCATTACTCTGTTCCAGTTTCGAAGGGTAAGGGTGCTAGTGAAATTACAGGCACATGGGATTTGTCAAGTTATGTCTCAGGGTGACAGGCGCAGTGGTAGTGCCCCCAGACCTTTGCAATTTAAAGCTCTGAATAGCACTGTAATTGTTAAGAGGTTAACAGGCAAGACAGTTTACCATCAGGTGCCAAAAAAAAACGTTTACTATCATATACAACTCTACTATCCGGACTGACTTGCGTTCATAGGAAACAAAACATTTTCGGATCTAAATCGCGTATACTTACAAAAAACCGTTTTGGGCCCTATGCAGGTTCCATGTCCTAGTAAAGGTATTAGACAACCGTGACCATAAGACCTGTAAAGGACCCGAAACATAGATCTTAAAAAATGGTTTCATTTCCAATGTGTAATCGCGAAAACCTAAGAACTCGATAATTTGCTTTCAGATTTCTTTTCGTAGTTTCACATAATAGTACCTAATATCAAATGTATCGAGTAAACATACGACATCAAAGCGAACCATCGAAATATACTTGACAAGAGCATTCAAGTGAAATCGGATGAAAAATTATGCATTTTGCGATATTTTTCCACATATCGACGCTCTGTGGCTATTATACGGTTCCTACACATCACTTGTATGGATATTACGTATATCCATATGTGTAACGTATTATATTGTAATGTAATACAATATATCGCGCATAATTACAGGAAATGTAATAAGTATGGATATTTAAATGAACTAGTAGGTGACATAAAATATGACATCTGATTACTTCGGTGGCGTATCGGTTAGCACTACTGTAGGCTCTACAAGAATAGGTATCGTTTCCCGGTAAGACCAAATTGGGAAATGATCTTTTATGATTTGTTCTGGTCTGGGTATTCCTGGTAGTGCCCCGTGGTAAATTTCGTTGCTTTGGTCGTATAGAGAATTCGATTATTTGACCACCTAAGAATTACTATTGCAATGCTTTCCGGAAACCATAATGGTTTCCGGAAAGCAGAAAAATGTAGAAAAGGTTGAAGAAAGAAAAAAAAGAAAGAAGAAGAAAAAAAGCAGAAAAGGTTGAAGAAAATATTATATTAACATTAAAAAATTTTCCTATTCAAAAATTTGCATATTGCATTTATGACATGGAGGAATACAGACTCCTCTGTCTCAGGTTACCCTATTTTGAGAGCCTAGGATCATCTCTTGTCAATCTTTAACCTATATGTTATAAATGTGCTGTGATCCAAATTTTTGAAATATATAAATGCTATTTATAAAACTATTATTATATTAAATATTATACGGCAATGTATCTACTAGTTAGTAATGGTGCAAAGATTTGTAGTTATAAACTGGGAGGCCAATATCCGATTAAAAGTAGTCAAAGCGTAAGAAAAAGTAGAAAAAGAAAAGAAAGTAAGAAAAAGTATTATTCAAGTTCTTTTAAATAAGTTTCCAATCCAAATTTTTGAACTACTCACATGACAGCCTAAGCATTAGTACAGCTAAACAAACTGTAAATAATCCCCTTTAAAAAAACTTTAATCACAGTCTTGAGACGAGCCTTTATATTCAAAAATTGAACTCAATTTCACAGCTCGCATCGCCTGTCAAATGCGACGCAAAGCCGCGAATGGGAGCCGTATTATGAGAACTAAAACGGACCCTATTTATATCACTGATAATCTATTTATTGTCACAATAAAAACTTTTGATGTTATCGAGCGATGAAAGAATTGTCACCTTCTTGTCCTTATCGCGATGCCAAAAGTCACGCTTCAATCACGCACTATTGTAATCTTTATTTGCTTAAGAATAGAGTTCAATATTTAGAGACGTTCCGTGAGGTATGCTAAGAAGCTTAGCAAAGCATTGGCGCGCATTTGAGGTTAGTTTGACGTTTCGAGTAACGAGAAAGTGGCTGACGGTAATAAAGGTACAACCGATGACATAATTGATTCGTGTCTAGATTTTGTCTCGTCAACGTTCTTATTTTATGAAGTGTCTTAAACGTTTCAAATTACTTGCGTGTAAAATATACGCGATGGTATTAAGAGGTATAATTTTAGACATTTGAAATTAACGGACAAGAACACTATTGTGACAATATAGTTGGTTCAAAATATTGTCCTAATATAAAAATAAAGATTTATGAAAGTTTTTATAATCTAATGCGATATTCATTCATACCGTCAAAGATATCGAGATCAATGTCTTATAAGAAAAGCGCAACAGATGCCTCACGCAAGCACCCACAATTAAATATGTTTTTTAGTAATGAATTTGATGGTGTGACTGCTCACCCCATCATTATACAGAGATTAATTACTTAGTTCAATTGTCAGCCTGGCTTGTTTGAGCATTAATTGCTATAAACGTTGTATTTTTTTCTCATTCTTAGTATGTTTATTATATATAAGTATATTTTTTCAATTTACGTTTCGAGAAGTTTTCTATTTACAGTTACTTGAAACGTTTAATTACTGCCAGCGGATGTTAAAGACAATAATTGGGATGTAAACTCATGAGATATATGGTCAAGAATATGAAAATTACATGGTATTTTCCCACACAATGGCACGTTCAGTTGTTTAACACATAATAAAATTGATATGACCCTAAAATTTTTATGTAAAAGGTTGTATTCACGATTGTACACAGAGTACGATCTATAGCCGTGGATTTCGGTGAGCTATTTAAAAATTTAAAAAGCGAACGTAGCTTGACATTTGACAAAAAGCTGATTATGACGTCAGTTTTTTCTTTTTTCCCTGGTGTAGTCGAGGATCCTTTCAGCCAGGATTAATTTGAACCGTTTTATAAGGGCTTACTTATCTCGCCCGAGTGTTGAGAACGGGTTGTGTTTATCGTACCCATTATACATTTTATTATTTAATTTATTTAACACCTCGGACTTATCGGCCTGTCTATTAAATCGTCGACGGGATAATGCGATCGAAACTCAAACATAATTTAGTTTTTAGATCTATCTAAGTGTTATTTTTTTAAATATAACTTTTAAGAGAAGATAACATATCGTTGCTATAATTTACTACTATTTTAAGTTAAAAATTAAAGTATATTTAATTGCAAATAAATTTATTAATAAAATGCTATTATAACGTTTTTAAGATCGAAAATATCATTTAGCAAAGGTTTAATGTACGGATTCGTAATTCCTTATTATATTCAGATACAATAAAATGGCTTAAACTAAAAAGTTCAATCTCTTCAACCGTGGCGAGCATTAAAAAGCATTAATAAATTTAGTTTAAAATAATGTGTGTAGTAGAAATAGATCAGATAAGAGCGTTTGTCTAAGACCTTAATTAATCCGGGCCCAGGTGAATAATTTAATATTTCTGCTCATTAAAACATTAATGAGAAATTATAATACGGCACGCTTACATGACAAGCTTTAAATGAAATAAAAAATCAATAATATGAAACTATGCGGTACTTTTAAAACTGATAAAATGATTCAACAACTTTTCGTTTGGTAAGATACCTAATGATGTTAGTTACAAAAAGAAAAAACTAAAACTATGTTAGTACAATTATAATTAATTTGGAAATGTTGGATGACACGAAAAAGTACCATCACGAGATCAATGGTAATAAATTCTGTCTTTAGTAAATGTAAATAAGGCAACACTAGATTGCATTTATGGGAACTCTACCTTACAAAAAATAATACATTTTCCTGTAATTTTGTCCTCCGTACATGTTCATTAAATAAATTAAACAACTGCCAACAGCTTTGTTGTTATTCGAAAACTCCAAATACCTACAGTCAAAGTAAGGCTTCAGACGTTGGTCTTTCGAGCCGGATATTTTTTTTTAATTCATTCGTAAATTTAAATGTAATGAAATGTTGATATAATAAATAATATAAAAGGAAGGCAATCTGCAGTCAAATTGAAAGCTCTCAAGTCACACAAAATTTGTGCCGGTCGGACGCGCCACCTGCAACCACCTCTGATCTCTTGATCCTGATACTAAATCTTGTAGAATCGAGTTACTACACCTTAACATGATCTCTATACGACCAATAGATCTTATAAACATATATTTTCATAATTTTACAATAATTTCCTTAACTCATTTATTAATTGGACAGATATTATGATAGTTACAACGTTACACAAAATATACACCTGTTAGAATTTGCATTCAGCTGCAATCAATAATGTCATTAATGCCAGCACTGCCAATCGTTTTATTCAGGTTCTATAATGTATTTATTGAATGACACGCGTTTCATGTTGGAGATCATAATCTTATAAGTATACTTGAAGTCTTTTTTTTAAATATTCACGTGATCCCATCGAAAGCGAAATAGACGTGGTCCACTTTTGGCGTAGAAGGTACATTGTTAGATTTTAGCATAGCTTGTAATTTAATTAATCAATTCCGCATACTTAAAAATATTGTGTGCGTACGTTAGATTTTAAGTTAAAAATGATTGATATAAAACTCAATTTCATTTAACACCCGTCACTCGTTGATGTCTTTTGTACGGTGCTGCGCCGGATTCAATTTTAGAACTTCAAGTTCAGAGCAAACTATTTAAACTTATTAAAGAAATTTCGGTGAGTGTAGAGTTTATATTTGTTGCGTCAACTTGTTTCATTGTTCTTTATCATTAATTTTCGACCTATGGAAGACATTGGGTTGAAAAGTAAAAAGGAAACTAACCTGGCGAGTCTGTAGCCGACCTGTCGGAGTCGGAGTCTCGATGCGCGCTGAGGTCTCTCGGCGCAGCGTCAAGGATGTCCGTGATCATGAACCGCGTGCGTGGCGCGCGCGCCTCGCGCTCGTCGCGCTGCACCGTCATCGCCAGCGCGCCGCCGCCGCCCGCCGCGGCGCCTGCGCACCCTGCCGCATCCAGCGCGGGGGTATGCCACCCCCGCTCGACCGCTGCGCCGCTACCTCCCAGCGCGATGCTCGCCGCCACCTCGCCGTCGCTCCTGACTCCAACGCCAACGCGCGGTCACCGCGACCGGCTCATCTCACCACCACCAGCACCCGCCGCACCGAGATGCCGATTCACACTTTTTGCAACTGTGACTCGCGGCTGCTTGGTCTCTGCCGCGAGCGCATCGCCACTTCCGATGCACCTCAATAACCCACTTTGCCGCCTAATTACTCAGTCATGTGCACCTCGCGAACGGTTTGCGGTTACGTTTTGAGACGCAAAAATGCAGCGCGCCGCTCTACAACAACAATCCTCTAGTATGTTTGAGCACTTAATGCTACGTCGAGAAAATCACAGGAAAGTTCACAAGTTCGATGGCAAAGTCCCACTGTAACGACGAGGTAGAGTCGTAGTTACTTCACGAAGTGTGGTGTGCGCTTGCACACGAATCGCACGAGACGAGATCTGGAGAGCGACTGACGGCGGAGCGGCGGTGCGGCGCGGCGCGGTGGGCAGGAGGCGGCGCCGGCCAATGACGCGGGGGGCGGTGCGGGCGCGGGGCGGTGCGAGACGTGCGGGCGGGAGAGGGCGCGGCCGCGGGCGTGCCGCTGCCATGTTGCCGCGCGCTAATGCTCTTTTTGCCGCTCGCCACCGGGGAAAGCTCCGCGCAGATTTAAGCTTTTATACGTGGATAAAACGCTTTTATAGGAAAATAAAGCGTTCTCGCAGTGGGATATCGCACTTTATGACGGCATTTTACTGAAAGTTGGCGACACTCTGCGATAGTAATTGGATCGCACTCGCCAAATTGGAACTATTGCGTCGGGGCTTCACTGGGTATTTATGTAGTTTGTTGTTTAATGAAAAGCAACTTTCAATTACAATAAGGAAAATTCTTCGTCAGAAAAACGACGTGTAATGTGATATAAATATGCCTATAGCATTCTGTTCATTGACTCTGCATTACTAATTGTAAAACACATGTAACGGACTCCTGATTATTAATGGTGAAATTCTGTGTACTCTTCCCTTCATTGGTCTCTTTGAATCGAAAATTATCAATTATTTTACCGACATCTTTATATAGGTAACTTTAACTATAAAGTACTTATAGATATTGCTTAGTTTTCGCTAGTGCGTAAATTATTTCATATTTTCATCTAGTACTTACCTAGGTATATCTAAATATTTTCATTATATATTTTATTCAACTTATTCGATCAATAACACAAAACATTTTCATGGCAGATATTCCAATCTCGTCTATTGGTATAAACGTCTCATGCAACATACTGATTTAAAAAAATCGCGCATTGTGTATGCTAAATCTGTAGTGAGTAGGTAATAATGGTATACGTAGTATGGAAAAGGTAATCTAGGACACATGCACACACAAACCCATAGAAACAACGAACATTTATATTTAGTCAGTCTAATTGAAACGGAAGTGTTTTTTTTAAATCATTATGTAATATAATTACTTTATTATTATTTTTGGTATCTAATTAAGATTATCGCCTCTCCCGTGACGTTACGACGAAAATAGTCTTAAATTTTAAGATTTTTTTATTAGGGCTCAATACTTGAACCTTTCCTATTTCTCATTTATATTAATGATCGACCATTCTTTATTAAGGACCTTTGCGAAGTAGTATTGTTTGCTGACGACATATCCTTGATTTTTAAAACTGACAGACATGACATGAAAAGTCATATTATAAAATTGAAGAGCATATTAGATAAAGATGTATGGAAAGACAACATGAGTCTATATTCCACACAATTATGATTCAAAGTGTATTTATTCCATAGCACTTAAGTTTGTTTGAAAAGAGCAATCCCTAGAGTTTCTTGCTCGTTCTTCTCAGGGAGGTCAGTGTAGTGAACGAGCAGTAGCAACAGTGAGCTGAAAACATGACGTTTTCAAGTGTAAAAATTTTACCTATGGAATAATTGATTATTTGACTTTGACTTTAATATTTTATTTCTATTTGTAAAAAAAATCCTAAATGGCAAAGATTAAATTATTAAAATAATAGGTACTTAACTTTTAAAAGAATTATTGTTCTAAAATGCAGACTTACCAAATCATGGCAATAATATTTGTATTAAATGATATCAATAATATTCGACAGTCACATGTGAACAAGTTGTAAATAGAATTAAATTTTCAGCAAATATAAAAGTGATAATTAAAATGCATGTTCTCCACTCATGCGAATGATGCATGCTCATTGCAGCTCGTAAAGACCACTAATGGGCTCGAGCAAAAACTGCATAAATGTTGCAATTACTACAAGTCACACTACACCGACTTCTGTGCACTTGTGGTAATCTGGAGTGCATTAGAGCCACCTTGAATCCACATGAGGGGTACCTGCGTACAATGAACTTGAGAGAATTAAAATAGCTTCTTGTCAAAAAGGTAACTATTTTAATTTTTATTTATCCAGGGTCATTAGATATAAATAATAATAATTTACTAACGTTTACGTTTAGTTTCTATCGTGTACAAAGTATCTATAAGTAGCGTAATATAATAAGGAATGTTTGAAAGACAAGAGCTTAAACTAGGTTAGACCCGTGCTATGAGTCTCCTAGTCTCTACCACCCGATTACAAATAGTACAAATACAAATACAAAATACATTTTTTTTAAGCTACAGGACGTATATTACCAAATATAAATAGTAATGGATAAAAATAAACTAGCTATTCTTGATAGTCTTCACAAAGTCAAGTGGTTTAAAACATATATATATTTGTGCCGCCAAACAGTAACATGAGCATTAATTCGTTACGGTTTTTAAGGGTAAGAATGCTACTGCAACTAGAGGCACATGGAACTTGTCAACTTTATGTTGAAGGATGACGGGCGCAGCTGTAGTGCCTCACAAATATTTGCTATTTAATGGAGTTAATGCCATCTGATCCCCTACAACTCATCCACCGCCAATAATATAAAAAATAAATAACTTTTGATTCACTCTACATAAATAAACATAGATATTTTGCAACTCCCAACGGATCCCGTCATTGTCACGGATCTATCAGGGGATACGTTTATAGAGGATCAGACGGGAATAACCTGATTTAAGGCACCTGTTGTGGATAGACGTGTAGCTTACCACTAGGCCCACGAATTGTTCATTATGTCATTAGACATCATTAAAAAATTACTACGAAGAAAATATTACTACTACTATAATAATTTAAATCCCAATTGGAGATCAAATGCGCACTTATTTTTTTTATAAAAATAAGAAACTTTCTAGCAATCACTAATCCACCAAACAATTTGTCTCTCTGTCAAATTTTTTTCGTAATTGTATTTGACGAGTATCAATTTCGTGACCACCTCAGATCAGAGTTCAGCAACCTTGACTGATCATCTCAATCAGTTTTTATTTGTAAGGTGATGTTGACAGTGAAATTAGAAGTACAATTACTCAATCTACTCTTGAGTTACATGTAATACATACAAAACGGTCTGAGTTACATCTGGACAATGATAAAAAAATAAACTCTAGTTATTTATTTATGGCATAGCCAGAGAATTACTGTGAAGTTGCCTAAAGTTAACATATATTACTATAGGAGTAAATTTGCATTCCTATGTCAGCCATACACGGCATTTGTGAAGTAAAAAAAAAAAGTACCTACTTGTTAATTATGGGCACAGAATAGAATATACAAATTCAATTTACAGACAACAACAAAAAAAATAGTACACATTAATTAAATTAGTAGCAGTAGAGCTCCTTGCGAAAGAGTTCGTCCAGGGAAGTACAGCCACCTTATCTATTTCTGCCATGTGAGCATTACTGCGTTTCGGTTTTGAAGCTAGGGTGACAGGCACATGAGACTTGTCAACTTGTGCCTCAGGATGACAAGAGTTCATGGTAAGGCCTCTGCACATGCGACCTAAGATCTCATGCCCCACAGCCAGCAGCGTATTAATGGTATTAAAATAATTCCTTGAGGCTCGTCTACAATATCTCCACAGACGGCGCGCGGTTATCACCTTTCATCAGCGCCGGCTAAATATACGCTTGAATATCTTAAAAATATTGTAATGTAATACAAATTGTAAATTCAACTGGCAATTATAGAGTAAACAGCTACATCTACGGATGTAATTGTTTTTATATTCAATTGCGGCCTACCATTTAGTGATCTTGAAAATAGCCCTATAGTCGTAATTAAAATAACGCAGCCCCCGCGATTCGTACAGCGATTAGCTGATATAATTATATGTTTCCAGTACCAAGAATCGCTGGTTTACATCAACTGTAATTTTAAAACGTATTTATTTTTTATTTAATTCAACTACTAGGTGATATTGAAATATGTATGTAGTACTTAACTTGTATAATATTTTCGCGTTATATGTATAAGTAGCAATAGTCACATCTCTGTCATTGGCTACTTTAACTTTGATAGGACATTTCGCATGATTTAAGGCTACGATTCCTTACTTTCTCAAACTCGTATCTTATAAAGAGTGAATATTCAGGAAATGGCGACACTTTCTGTTTATTTTAAATTTCTTATCAAGGTTGTTAATTTGGATACATTATTTTAAGAATAGGTAAAATCCAGTGTGTGAATATGAATGAAATGTGATGTGAAATCAGTCTGCAAAGTTTGTATATACAATCCGTTTTTCGCATTTTAGTAAGATTGTGCTTTAAGTTACGATTTAGAGAAAGTACGGCGAAGCTATGTGATTGGTCATTTTCAATTTCATTCAATTTTTCACGTCATACCAAGGCCACGTGATTGGTCCATCGACTAATCACGTATCAAAATGTAGTAGCATGTTACACTTAACATGCTACTACATTTTTACGCGAAAGAGTATGTATTTATGTAAATATTTCATTGTACCAAAAAAAATGACATTACGTTATCATTAATTCAAAAGTATCTTCTATAGATATTATATAACTTCATTTACTTTTCTTCGAAATCAAAGTGAGAAAAAATTTTGTTCATAGCGAAATACACTTCAAATAGTCATATTGATTAAACTCTACAGCTCATTCGCAAGGCAGACTCCCTGAGAGAAGAAGCAAGAAACTCTAGCGGTTGCTCTTTGTAAAT